CCGTTCAAGAAATCAAGTTCTTACTGACTGCAGGAGGTGAAAGATACTTGAGCCTGTATCCAGATTTATTCTTTAACAATGATGAACATTTGATGCCTTGCAGGAATCGATCTCGCATTTACAAGTGCCCTAATCCACACCTTCTTTCTTTTCCAGAGACAAGGCTAGCTGACCAGGTAGTTCTCAGAAGTGTATTATTTTTATTGTCTTTTAGTATTACTCTATTTCCAGAAGGAGCTTTTCTGAGCAGCTCTTCATGGCTGAAAGTTCTGTTCAACTCAAGCATCCACATACTCAGATGATTACCTGAAGTCTCTCCAACTCACTTTGGGAAGAAAATCAAATTTGGAATTGTACTGGTACATCCTGTCTCTTGAAAGATCCAGTTCCACCTGGTTCTGGAAGAGCTTTAAAAGCCCAGAGCTTTCTGCAGAAATAGTCAGACAAATTGTGCTTTGATTCACATGAGTGCATGCTACCCACCTCAGGAGTTCTAGTGCAACTGTGTTCACAGCAATCCAAAAATCTCAGCGTCACAGCCAGAAAAAAAATTCCACATAGCTTGTTGCCAAAGCCAGTTTAGAATTTTATTTTTTGTCACACATTTAGCAGAATTTAAATGCTTTTCTCTTACAAAAAACCTGTTGTTTCCAGCACACGTATTTCTTCAGAAAGCCTCTCAAGTGTTTAAGAGCTGCAGCACATTGCATGCAGCTGACGAGGAGCCCTTGGGGGAAGGTACCACGTGCTGCTGAGCATGTGATGCACCCAGCCTGCCTTGGCCACCCTCGCATGTCAGAGCTGAGGGCCTCTAACGCAGAGATAAGGCTGGCAGCAGCCCAGTGCATCTCAGCCCGAGCACGCCGGCCAGCTCGAACATGGAGTAGCCGGAGCAGCACCGGAGCAGCCTCCGCAGCGCCCAGGTGCCCAGCACAGCCGGCAGCCCCTGCCTCTCCTGATTAACACTGCCACCTGCAAGCTTCTTTCACTGTTTTACACCAACATCAAGGGGATTTATACACAGAGCAAAGTATTATTAAGGAGAGATTTGAGTGGATTTTCCATAAATGAAAAGGCTTCAGCCATGGCTGCACGCAGAGACTCAAGGAGATCTCAACACCTTCTACACAGGACCCTCCAAATGACCAAATTTAACTGCTGAATGAAGTCAGTGCCAGGCAGCAGCCTCTTTGCAGCACTGCACATTCAAAGTTTCGTTTGTTCGTTGCCAGGAATGACACTTTGCTGTGGGTGCCCCTTGTCTCGCTGGATGGGCTGCAGCAAGGCCGGAACATCTGCAGTGAACTGTGAGAGCCTCTCTGTGGCTCGTCTCAGTCACTGAGCTGCCTGACAACAGCTCCCGGCCTCCGCTGCTCCCCCACCGCCCAGACACCTCTGCGACTGCCCAGGAGTTAAAATCCTGCAAGAGTTAAATACCTGCAATTTTGGCTCTTAGAGATTTGCACCTCCAGTGCTGGCCAAGACTGCTAGAGGCTGAGACCTAAAGGCTCAACAAAAGGTTTGAAAAGAAATTTGAACTCCCAAGTCTTAAAAATAATCAGTTCTCAACTTATGGCTGTGTGGGGAGGTCCTACTCATGTTTTTCCTTCAGATCTCAAACAGGTGCATTTGAAAATACCAGCCTAGGCACCACATAATTTGCTTTGTGAAGCAATCTGAAAGAAAGCAGAACTTTGGAAGAACTTCTATCAAATGTACATACTGCAATTCTTGCTATGACCTATTTCTCTGGCATTTTCATGTAAAGGTATTTATAGAACCTCTGTAGAAAGAACTGAAATTAGAAAAATTCTGTGAATAGAGCAGAACACACATTGTGGTTCATTTTATTATTTAAATGTGCTCCTTTCATTCTAAACAGAAAAATTAAATAAAGGGGGTAAAGAAATATTCTAGCATTCAGAATATTTCAGGAATGAATTCCATTCAGATCTGTCTGTATCTCAATATTCATGCATATAGAGGAAAAAGCATCAATTCTATCTAGCAAGCAGAGTTATTTCTAATACCTAAAATATGCCATTTGAATTCCAGAACAGATAATGAACAGCACAGGAGAAAAGGCCAGAAGAAAAACACCATAAGAAACTGAAAATAACTTTCAATGACTCGGATGTATTTTTCTTTCCAAGTTTGCTATATGTTGGTTCATTTGCTGGAGACATGGACACTTGCCCAATTTCCTGGAGTAGGTAAGTCAATGTAACCTATCAGCCATCTGTTCTAATTGGACATGCTGCCTGAAGAAACATTATAAATATGCAAAGAACTACAGAAAAAACCCTGATGGAAGAGCTGGGTAACAATAGCTTTAATTTTTCATTTGTTTATTTGATTTGCTGTAATGAATGAGGCACAGGAGCAACATCTGGAATAAGCAAAATGAGACAAATGAAACTTTAAAGCAAAATAAGTCTGTTTGAAACAAATCTGCACTTTTTTGATACCATTTTATCTTTTAAGGTGACACTTTGCTCAGTCATCTGCACCACCTTCTGCCACGAGGAGACAAAGGGGGTTCTGGTTTGGTTTATGCATTAGCCGCCAGCTAGAAGGGCCCTGCAGTTTGGGACACCAGAGCATTTCACAGCTCTGCCACTCGCAATCGAAGCATCTGATGCTGTCCTTGGAGCAAGCCAGAGGAATCACGGTCCTGAACGAACCCACGCATGCATCATATTTGCAAATCCAACACATTAGAAGTATTTTTCCTGTATCTTTGAAATTCACTTGTACCAAAGAGGTGCAACTGCAAGGCAAGGATGGACAGAGTCAAAACCCGTTTGAATAAAAGCCATCATAACCATAAGAGACGGGAAAAACAGGGTAGCTGATGATCAGCTTCCACTAAGGCTTTGTCAGAAAAGGGAACCAACAGCAGATCATACAAGGCCTTTAAAATAACTGAAATCTTAAGTGTTTTCATAGAATCAGCACAGAAAACCACCAGAATCAGGCACCAGCTTCCAAAAACTGCAAGCTGCCAAGAAATAGGCAGTGAGCATATGTATTCGCCCTCCAAAATCCATTCTGTAAAACCATACGTGCAGCAGAGCACAGGAGTCTCCTGGCAAGACCAAACCCAGCAGAGCACACAAAGAAAACAGGCTAAAACAAACAACGCTGCACCCTGTAAGTGCTCCGCAAAAGCATCCAGATGATCCTCTGATCACTGCTGCAAGACACTGCGCTTGAATTAAATGAGTTAAATTTTAATTTTGCCTGCATTTCGGCTGGTGAAAGGTGCCTTTGAAGAGCTGCCGGGCTCCTGACACACGGGCAGGAGGCTGGGGTGGCAAGGCACCAACTACATCCGCACAGCTCCTACCCCAACACCAAGAGCACAAATCTGCTTTAATGTCCCTTACTGCAGGCAGCAATCCTGAGGAGATAACAGCCATCTTCATCAAGGATTATGTAACCAATTACCACACTATCATCAATTGCTTTAATGTGCACATTCATACACAGCAATAAAAGCAAACATATAGCTTAAGTTCAATACCAGAAAATTTTACAATAGGATCCTTCACATTTATTTTAGCTAGTTTTGCCTTCAGCATCTGAAGTTCAGCACCACAAAGATCTGAAGCAGAGGGGAGGCACTTGGCACATTTAGAAAACGGGAGGCAATTCCTCGCCCAGCTGCAGATTCTGGTCTGTCAGTACCAGTCTGGCCTGCACACACCCTGTGCCCGCTGCCCTCACCTTCGAGTCCATGTTCGGGCCTGACAGCCTGTAACCTAAGCACTATTAAAATAACTATTATTAAGATTTTTATATTCCACCACAAAAGCGCTAGGAATCAGTTTAAGGAGTAGGTATCATTCTGCAATGCTAGTTATGAGGCATTAGCCTGACCATAAAGCAGAGGGGCCACCCCAAGCAACCCCTTCTTTCATTCATTTCTCACTTCAGGAGGACAACAGCTTGGCAGCAAGATGCCTCATATTGTCAGAAAAACCATCCCATCCTGCTCAAAGCTTGATTTCTTTGTCTGTGTTAGTTTTATGGGATGTTTAATGGAAGGTTTCAACAATGCCATCATCAAAAGAAAGAGGACAGAAATAGTGAAAAGAAAAAGAATAATTAAATTTTAAAAGGTTTTCTGAAAGAAAATGGTCTTATATCATTTTAACTGTTTTTAAAATCTAGCTGACTCCAGTGTTTCTTATGATGACTTCAGCAACTTGTAGTTTAATTTAAGAAAATGAAGAGAGCTGGGAAATACAATCCGTAGTAAAGCTACATAGACGATCCTATTTGAGGAGGAACAGCAGAACAGACGTTCTTGACTTCCAAGAAGGGTTTCACAGACCGCGCAATCCATACAGGGCCCAATGGCACCAATATCCAGCTGCACCAAGGGGGCACTGGTTCCTTGGGAAGCAGTACTGGGATGAGCTTTGCCAACCCAGCATCACCTTCCATTGACGTGAGCACACACTGCCCACACGTTCCCACGTTTGGCTCGCTGCAACACCCCACATCAGACACATGGCATGGCTTGGCCAGCAGTTACCCCCACACCCTGCCCCACCGGGGTACAGCCACAAGGGAACAACTGGGTTCACCCACACAGCTGCGGCGCTTCCCAAGGAGCAGCCCACAGGACACCGCATGCTGCTCCGGGTGCCCTACTCCGCACATGGATCAGATCACATTCCCACGCCCACCACTGGGAGCCCCATGAGGGCACCCCTGCCACAGCAGCAGGGCACCCCTCACCACGGGGAGCCCCGCACCGCACACCGCTCTGCAGCACCCACACCCTTGGCACCCACAACAGAGACACCAACCCAACAGCACCCGGCCCCCAAGGACAGGCATCACAAACTCGGCACCCCCCAATCACAAGCAGGGCACCACCTCATGGACAAGCTCATGATGACCAAACCCAACAGGCTTCAGGCACATATCCCACAAGTTCCACACGCCACCACCCCTCAGCACGAAGCACGCACAGCGCAAGGCCCTACCTTGGGAAGTCCTCTCCTCAGGGCACACTGCACGCCGTCCAGATGGTCCATGTCCTCATGGCCAGGGCAACCCTACGGCAGGCACATGGCCATTAACACCCCTGCATGCCTCAGGACAGGGGCAGCCCTGCACACAGTCTCCTCACTGCAGCCCTCCAGGCAGCTCTGCTCAGGACAGCCCAGTCCTGACTCCTGATCCATGTCCCTCACCCTGCACCAGACACCTCACAGCACCCACACCACTCCAGATTGAGAGAGCCCTAGGCTGCAGGCAGGGCTCTTATAGCATCTGCGGGCAGGACCAGGTGCTGCTCGTGAGGCCGCTCATGGGGTCTCCCAGGTGCTGCTCATGAGGCTGCTGGTCTGGCCTGCGGCTCTGGTGCAACCTGGTTGGGGCTGTGGGTCATAAACAAGGTTCTTGTGCCTCAGGTTTGTGCCTTGTGCCTTTATGTTCCCCTTTGTGTAGCTTGGTCCTGTCCCACCTAACCAAGGCTGTGCAGTCTTTGCAAGGGTGAGGGGGGTGTTTGCAAGCCTGGTTTGACCAAAGCGGGCTGAAACCCCCGGCCACCGCATCCCCGGGGGCCCCAGAGCGCCTGGGGATGGGGAGCTGCCGCCAACATGTGCATGAGGTGCTCTGCACCTGCACCAGACGTGGCTTGGGGTGCTGCCACCGCCATGGAAATGCTCTCACACAGACACTGATCCCGCCAAGGCTTATTTTCCTCCCATAGAAAGGAGCAACAAAGCCTTTTCTGCTCTAATTCCCATGGTTAGAATTGGAGTTTATGTTATTTGTAGATGTTGTTAATCCAGTTTTTGAACTTGCGATGGAAGGCGCAAGAAAGCTCATAAAACTCCAAGGACAGAACCAGCAAGTGGGATCAGGTGGCAGAGATAAGGAGCTTGCGTCGGTTTTGTGTCTCGCACCTGATTTTTTTTAAGCTCTTGGCTTTATCCCCCCTCGTCCCCATGATTGAATACAGGGGTCTGTTCTCCAGAAGGTGTTTTAAGGGGCCCTGCAGAGCTTGCTGCAGTTGTTTTTCCCATCTGAACCCTAACTTCAGTAGGAATGCACTTCTCCGGGTGCTCCTGGTGTGACCTGTCCCCTTTGTGTCAGTGTTAGTGACCTGTCCTTCCACAGAGCCCTCGCAACTACCCTACACAGTGCCGGGAGTTTTTAAAAACACCTATCAAGCTTTTCCCCCTCTTTCTTTGCTGAGCTTTAAGGATGCTCTGGGTCGCGTTCCTGTGATGCTCGGGCCGGCAGTACTGCCAGCTGGGGTGATACATGGTGAGATCCTCCCGGATCAGCATCTCACAGGTGCTCCCGATCAATACCAATCCAAGCCCAGAGTCAGATTACAAAAGTGAGACTTGGCACCGAGGCAGCCTCAGTTTCACCTGCCAGGAAGAGAGGGAGCGGGGAAGAGGTGGTTTTATCGGAAGAGGGAAGTTGGAAAAGCGAGCAGCAATTAGTTGCACTTAGTTGAAGCCATGAGTGAAAGCTGGAGCAAGGCATTTAGTCCTGATACTGCTTGGTTTTAAATAAAAGCAGAAGGCTGGGTTGGGGGAGAGAAGAGGGAGGAGCAGAGAGAAGAGAAAATAAAAGAAACCTGGAAGCTAATCCCAAGCACTGTGAAAAGGTCGTGTGCTTCGATATGAGTAATTAATTTTCTTAGAGCAATGTTGAAAAGGTTAACCTGATTTATGGAATGCAATTTAATTTAAAATGTGTTGTGTACGTTGTTAAGAGGTCCAATTATAGCTGCTAATTCCGCAGACTGACACACATGTTATGGTCTGATAATACCCTGGTATGAGGGGGAATATCTGCAGGTCCAGTAATTAGACATGGCCCGTTGAAATGCTGAGGGGTAGAAATGCTGAAGGAAGAGCTGTGCTCTCATCCCCCTTCATCCCTCCGCCCGCCCAGCGCTTGGTCATTCGTTTGGAGCCAACTCCCATCCAGGGAGGGTTGAGACACAGGTAAAACCACGGCATAGCTACAGATGAGCCCAGCTTTACTCCGTGACCAAAACCACCACATAGCCACAGATGAGCCCAGCTTTGCTCCATGAGCAAAAACAATGAACGGGCAGAAAATACTGCTAAAATCTGGAGGAAGCGTTTCTGAGCTTCAACAAGGAGCTAAACACTTGTGAATCCTTCACACATGCTGGGTATGGGGCCAGACTCACACTCTGGTTGCCCTCACTAGCTCTAAAATCTGTGCATCCGTGAGAACTGGCATGATGCTGTCACGAGGGTGGTGTGTTCGGTTCTGCTTTCTTCACACTGCAGAAGCTGAGACGGGTGACAGTGATAAAGATTGCCGAGGAGGCCAGAAGGGAAAGGCTGCGCCTGGAATTTGAAAGGGATAATGACTGAGATGACATGGGACATGAGCAAGGAAAAGAGCAGATGCTTCGGAGGAAGAATTCCGGGCAACCCTGTTCACCTTCCTTCATTCGGAAGGATCAGGGCACAGTCACCCAAATCGCAGGTAGCAGGAAGACCCCCACCGTGACACAGCATTGCTGCTCTACTCACACTGCCATGAAATAACGCTCAGCTGCTTCTGGCTGCTTCTTTCTGTCTCTGCACCTCTGTATCCAATGTCAATTCCTTTGTATTTTGTAGCCTGCTCCTCGGGTGAGCAATTAGTGCAGTGCATTTTAATGCAAAGTGACTAATAGCTGGGGGCATTGCTGCCCGTGGTCCTTGCTGCTCCCTGCACCCTTCGCCATTATTCCCTGTGGCAATGCGGGCTCCCCTTGATAGCTTGAGATTGATAGAGAAACAATTGTAGCTCAGAGAACCGGTGACAGGGTAGACTTTCCTAGGATGAGCAGAATGAGCTAATGGATTAGTGCAGCTCCAAGCTACCCTTTGTTCTTCTCAAAGCTTGCTGATAAGCTACTACCAAATGGTGTTGCTGCGAATGAATGGGTTGATAATTTTTGAGGTAGTGGCCAAGTTTCTTGGAACAGGCACCTGGGTTGGCATTTCAGTGATCCTGGAGGTCGTGTCTGGCTCCACACATAGGAGCGAGCAGGAGGAGGCTGCCCACGTGGGGAAACCCATACCTGGAATATATTTGTGGTTGCAGTTTGCCGTGAAGCCAGGAAACGTGCTCTGCATTCAAAATGGACTTTGCAATGGAGAACTAAGGGAGTTTGCAACATTGCACACGTTTAGGGAGATGTGTCTAGGTAGATTTCCAAGTTATCGCGGGCTATAAGTGCTGAGCAATTGCTGCACGACAGGCACTGCATCTGCTTGTTTCCTGGTACCCTCTGACACACATCGTTTGTCAACGGTGTTTGGGACAAGCAAGGTGAGATGTACTCCAGAAGAGTAATTTGTTGACGATAGGTACAGCATTCCTGCTCCTTTGGAATTGCATCTGCTGATAAAAAGAAGGTCTCTGTGTCAGACTTCCCTTAAAAACTTTAATGAAGTGCTGTACTGCTGGAGGAATGAATCAGGCTTCTCTGTTCAACAGCACTGAGTGGTCTGAGACAAGAGCAGCCTATTTTTGTATTAACCTTTCTGAATCCCATTACCATGACATTGAGTATTGCAACTTTTTTTTTTTTTTTTTTTTTTTGACATTTTTAACAATCCAAGGATTTAAAACCTTCTTGTCAGTCCGGAAGGGCAAGGGATGATGGAAGGAACTCCCCACTCTGTCATGAATAATGCCAAGTACCCTCAGCCTTCTTTTCCTCAAAGCTGTCTTCCCAGGCTTCACCCAGGCCCATTTTTGAATACCATCTCCAAATGAATTCAGCAAACTTCATCCCATGATAACTTCATCATGTTATATTGACTTCTCAGGGAGCAGAGAGGGATATAATGATAATTCAACATAATGAGTAGCTGGATGGGAAGCCAGACCACTGCAGTAGCCGTTCCCTTCCCTGCCTCCACCCAGGCAAATCACTGTCACCCATTGCACTTTTTGCTGCACATACTCATCTCTTCAGGCCTTCTCGCCCACCCGAAGGGAGCTCTGCCTGCAGAGGGGAGGTGATTAGCACCATCAGATGAAAAACAACCTGCTGTTCATCCTATCAGAATATTAAAAGAGAAATTGTCATTTCTTAGCTGCAAGGAACGCTTAAAACAAATTACCCCTATTAAGAGAATAAGAATCAGGGGAGTGCTCTAAATTTGGTGTGTTGAGAAAACATTCAGATGGGATGCGTGGTGTCTATTTGTCACTGGAGGTTTAATATTTACTTCTGTTGATGAGACTTCGTCACACTCTATTACAATTCATAGATTTGTGTTTCCAAATGTTATGCACAAAAATGCTTTGATTTATAGATGATAAGTTTTTTCCCCCGCCCATTCCTTCTACACTGTCATAAACGTGGTCAGTGATGCTTATCTCACGGTATTAACGTGCCTCATTTAATTATATTGTCTTGCTCAAGAAGTGCGCTGAGTTTGAAAGAAACTACAAATCGTGAACTCTTGGTGAGGGCAATTTTCAGCTAGAGGAACATGCTGGGTTTTTTCTTCCCTTTCTAGTGTGCTGTGATTCCTTTGTCAGCGCCACCACTCCAGCCACCCAAGGGATGCGGCGCGAGCGTCACCCCAGCCCCTGCCCCAGCTCGGGCAAGGATGGCTCCGTATTGATGACTCCAGCTGTACAATTGCCACCAAAACTACAGGGATTTCAAGCCTGATTGACTTCAAATTAGAAATCTATTGGCTCGGCTGGGCCCTTAATGAACAGGACGAGGCAGGAACATTGCTCGGGTTGCCTTTTTCCAGTCCAGCGGACTTCATTCCTGGTCGCTGCTTGGCAGGAGAGGTTTGCAGAGGCTGCGCCTTGCACAGGGCAGGGCAGAGCTGCTGGGCTTTGCACAGGGCGCACAGTGCCGCAACCGCCCTATGGCTTCCTCTGGGCAGCACCCGGCGAGCAGAGGGTGCTCTATGGGCGCCTACGAGGAGGAGGAGGAGGAGGAGGAGGAGGAGGAGGACGAGGAGGAGGACGAGGAGGAGGAAGGACACTGCGCGGGCGCCCAGGCCTGTGGGCTTGGTGGTGTCCCCT